AATCAATCAATCAATCAATCAATCAATCAATCAATCAATGTCTGTCTGTCTGTCTGTCTGTCGTAATGAAAGAAAATCTTCCAATAAAAAGCCACAAGTTTCCTTCAAAGCTTAAATCAGACAGGAAGAATGTCTAATTGGGAAAACCACGTGGAAATATCAACCAGTTTAACTCCTTGCACTAAACAAAATGTTGTGGAGCCTATAAGAATGTATTTTATTTAAATCAAGTGAAATGTTATGCAATGGCCAAAGCTTAAGAGATGCCAGAGAAACAGACAGCATAAATAAAGGTCTGGTTTGAATTGTAAGACGTTATTATTCAGAGGTAAAGTAAACTACAGAAGTAGACAGCACTCTATGAAGTACGCACTAAGCAGCTCTCTCTCTAGTTTTATGCTGACAGGCAAAACTGTGCTTTTTGAGGAGGCCACGCTATATAAGTGCTCTCTCTCTCTGATCCTCTCCATCAAAAAGGAAGGCAAAATCATCCTGTCACCGTTAGCATAACAAAAGCACAAAATCTGAGCTTGACTGCAGCAGCCCATGCTGTACGAACACCCCAAACTGGCAGAAAAGCACTGCGCCAAATACCACCAACCGCCACCATTTTTCATAGACGTAATTACCATTTGGCGGGAGGCGCTTTGCGGCAGCAGATGCCACGTTACGGGACTATGGTTCCCATTGCGATTACTGTGATTTACTTGGGTTGCCAGTGTCATAAATATCCCACCCTGGTGGCACAAGCACAGCTGGGCCCTGAGAGAAGATGGGACCCTCAGGAGAGTGGATTTGTGAATGACTGGATATACTGTATGTATGGGTCCAGGTTGGAGAGAGTGTTCAGTATATCCCAATACTTCTCTGCAAAGTCTAATCAGTAAGACAGTAAGACCCTTCATCAACATCCACAGAGGGATTATCACTGATACATACCTGATGTTCAATTATTGTCTGTTTTTTTTTTTTTTTCTGTAAAGCTGCTTTGACACAATTTGCATTGTACAAAGTGCTATAGAAATAAAAATGGCTGGACACTTTTAAACTAAAGCAAGCAACACTAGGGGAAAACACATTGCTGTCTGATTTACAGATCATACAGAATTTTCTCTTTTAAAATTTGTTTTTATATTACTGTTTCTAATATATATTAGGGTTATAATGAATCAGGGTTACTCTGTGATCCATGCGGATCACAACGCACAGTCCGGAACACAAGTGATCCACGGATTAATAACTTTTTTGAACTTATGGGTTAATCCAACATTTATAAATATTGCAGCAAGATCGCCAATTCAAACCGGCGCAATATGAATGACAAATGATAGTGATTTGCATGTGTTTATTATTCCTTTGCAACGCTTCATTTAAATCTGCGTTAGATTGAGAGTTAAAAAATAGGTTAGTTACAATCAATTAAATTACACAGGGATAACAGTTCAACAGTTTAATTTTTCATACTAAATATTTTCCTTTTTTTCAGCTGGTTCTTTCCTGATTTTTATTTTTATTAAAAATACAGGTTCTTAGTTCTGTTTGCTAAAACCAGTGGTTTTTGCTGTAATATTTTTGTGACTCACATTCCTAGTTACAAATATACAAATGTTGCACACACAACAACAGGCCTATATAAACAAGAGCATATTGGCAACACAAAAAAAGTGCAAAGTCTAACAAGCATAGGTTATAATTTATATAGTCATTTGATAATTGGTTTAGTTTAATATTAACTTCAGCTAAAGAGACTGGTGGACACAATGTTTTCAGCACAAGTCTATTCTTGGTTTAATTTTGGAGACTGCACTCAGAGATCATCCTTAATGTTCAGTTGTGGCCTGTGTTTATTTTTAATGAATTTGATTGCCATAAAGGTGTCAAAGTTTAACATCGTGCTGTAAAATCAGTCTGTGTTGTTGAGCTAACACACACACACACACACACACACACACACAAAAAGGTTGATGGCTTTTTTTACGCATGTTGATGCTTTGTTGCTTTTTTATGTAACTATTAACTACTATGTTTATCTTCTGAGGGTTATGGATAAAATATGGTAATTCTAACAGTATAATATGTAATAAAAATGTAATATTTAATAAAATGTTTTAGACTTTTGGAAATCACCAATCGACCCCTTCATTGTCCAGCTACCCCGCAAGGGGTCCCAACCCCCACTTTGAGAATCACTGCGTTACACCACTATATATATATATATATATATATATATATATATATATATATATATATATATATATATATATATATATATATATATATATATATATATATATAGTATGTAATAAACTATTAAAACAACTTTTACATTTTTTTCCTAATATTTTTGTTTTTCTTCCTCTTTTACTTGTATTATTATTATTATTATTATTATTATTATTATTATTTATTACTTAACATTTTTTGATCTGTTTAACAAGCATTGCAGTAATATATAATAAAATATTTCAAAATGAACTTAAATAAATGGTCTCACCTGTACTTCAGTGTAAGCAATGTAAGCACAAGGGCAAATATTCACAGGCAGTTTTTCAAACCATTACTATCTCTGTTTGAAATGTGCCATGGGGAGCTCACTGTTCTATTTTGAAAATGCATTTAATTTTCCTCCAGGCCATGTAAAGTACTGCACTTTGGATTAAAAAGTAAAGTTTATTTTTTTAAATCACCCATTTAGTGGCTTGAAAACTTCAAGCCAGAAGTCAGAGTCAGGAATTCACATTTAGAGATAATTTAGATATCTAATTTTCACCGTTTTTCTGCATCTCATGTCTGTATTCAAAACTATGAAGGTTAGATTTAATAATGTGATTCTTGAGAAATTTTGTTTTGATCGCAATAGTTTTTAAATCCAGAAACCCAAAACTGAACTAGTAGAAATAATGGATAAAATGTCTTCCTAATCTCTGTATTTGATTACTGGTCTAGTTTTAGACTTGTATTAGACTTCCACTGAAAGCCCAAATTTAGCCTTGTGTTAGCGTTTTACATTTAGATGTATATTAGAAGCAAATTGCTTGGAGGATAATCAAGAAGATGATAAGTCATAATCCCTCCAGAATGATAAACACGAAGTTTGATGCGATTCTGTTCCACATCTGTTCTTTCATGTCATTTTCGTTCTATCAAGTTCTATGTTACTTGCCTCTTGAGTTGAATGATATATTCACACAGGGTGAATGTCTCACTGGGGTTAATTATGTAAACATATGACCCACACAAAGACATTCACAAACACATGGTTTCTGGTGGATCGGAGGACAGAAGGGAGGGAGAGACTGGAACCGCTCACCGTAAATGAGGCTGTGACATTTTTATGTTCACGTGAAGGATTGCGGCATGTATCAGGTTCGTCGGTGATCGTAAATTAACAGGTGTTGTCAAAAGCAGTACAGAGACATGCAGCAAAATGATCAGAGCGATTACAAAGCGGTGCGCAGTTCTGGGTCCCAGACAACATAAACTCAGTGTGTCGACACACGCTCTTCAGTTTAGGCTAGACCATAATCAACCTTCAAAGTCTCAAGGATCACATTCACTCTGTAACAAACAGTGGAAATGCTTATTTTTAAAAAAAGAGATGCAATCCTGAAAGTAAAGGTTCTTGTTTGACATCAGAGGTTCCTTATAGAACCATTGACATTCATGGAACCTTTCCATTACTCAAAAGGTTATTTTACAGGGAAAAGGATTTAAAAAGGGCTAAAGACGATTAAAATGTTCTTCAAACTTAAAAAAGGTATTTTTATCCCTTTAACTAGCCCTCCATGAAAAACATGTTTAGATTGCATTTCTTGATTCCTAATGTCGCAAGTCAACACACTTAATGTGTTTTTTTTTCAACACATCCCATAATTTCTTAAATATCAGGCTTTACCAAATGGTTGATGTGTTGATTTATGATAAAAGCACTGAGCTTTATATATATATATATATATATATATATATATATATATATATATATATATATATATATATATATATATATATATATATATATGTATAATTATTAAAATATGAAGTATAAGACCAAGACCAAAAAAATCTTTAAAATAAAACTTTTTGGACACTAAATTACCTTTTTTTAAAGTATGCCATAAATTTTCGTTTAACATGTTTTCTTTTTTTTTTTTTTTTTACAATAAAATCAAAATCTAGTGTAGTAGCGCAAAATAATTATGTTTGTTTGATTTTTTTTTTTTTTTTTGTAAACCAACAATGCTGTGTTTGCAAGGCATTATTTAAAACAGTCATTCTTCAAATGACTTTAGCAGTCATTATTTAACACAGTCAAAACATGGTCAACCGTTTGGTAGAGGGGCAGTCAAAGAGTTAGGAAGTGATCACTAAAAGGTTCTTTAAACAAAATAGTTATTTTACTGTATAGCATCACTGTGAAAATATATTTGTTTTTAGGAATGCTCCAACAAAAACAAATAAATTACTGCTGTAAACCCAAATAACTTTTTTTGAACAATGACTTAACATTTTTTTAATACAGTGAAAAAACAATGAACACAATTGAAGGGCACAAATAACAGATGAGCCTTGTCAAAATATCTTCTTTTGAGTTCCCCAGAAAAAGAAACCAATTCTGACATGTTGATTACATGGTGCTGAATAAATGATTTCATTCCATTACTAAACATCATGCCAGCAGCAAGAACCTGGATGAGATCAAACCATACTTTCTGAACAGTCAACAATGACCCTTAGCTGACTATTTTCATACAGCATGATTAACAAACGGCCTCATTTCTGAACCATAATCTCAGAGGTCCTTCAAATCCAATCACTTACTCTATCAGTCAACCTGCCATAACTCAAAGAGATTACTTCTTATGGCCATGTCAATCCTATTTACACATGTATTGCAAATTCCACCACCACTGCCATCTCAATGAAAGAGGATACAGTATACTTGGAATATAGCTGATTTCAACAAGAGAGAGGGTTTAAAGCTTGGTTTACCAGCAACTCACCGGGTCTTTTTTCTAGCTTTCTTCCTCGACTGCCACAAAGCCGGACTTTGGAGATGAGGATGAGGATCTGCTTCTGGCAGAGTGACTTGTTGCTCTTGGGGCAAGGCTTGCGTTTGTTGGAGATCTGCCGGTTGGCCTTGGGGTCCTTGACTTCCCTTCTCTGCCGGATCAGTGAGCTGGCGAGGGCAGCCATTTTGCTGTGCCCCGCTCACCCGTGGGGCGCAGAAGGCGTCAGTGGCCTGCCCACCTGTCCGATCACCCAGGGTCACAGAGGAGAGGAGCCGGAGACGGCAGATGTTTGGACTACAGCGGGATCTCCCACAATAACCAAGGGAAGAATGCGTCACAACTTGACAGGGAACAAAAATGGGCCCGGTTTAGATGGGTACAGGGGGTGTGGCAAAACACTTGTGAAGTTCACAATAAACTTTAGCTATCAAAATAGTCAGAGAAACTTAAATTACCTGGTGGGGTGATTCTAATGAACAGCAGCTATCGTAGTTAGGACTGCTTATTTTAGATCTTGCTGCACAGTATGTAGACTGGAAAAGTGGCAGCAGATGATCCATGAAACTGTACTATTCTGAAATATAAGCGAGCCATCACAGCACCATCATACTCTTCCTTTCCGGCTCTATTCCCTGAAGATGCCTCTCACTTCCATCCCATAGTTTGGGGTCGGTTTTCAGAAACCTCTCAGGTTGAAAATCGTTCTACATATGATTTGGAAAAAGGCATTAAAAAGTCCAATCGTTTTATCCGTATGGTTCCAACTGCTAAAACGAAGAACATCAACACTAGCATGAAGCAAAAATGCAGATCCTACGAAGGAACAATACCCTGAGACAATCTTAGTGAAACTCCATTACCTGATTCCAAAGTATCGCATCCATGACACTATGACTGCAAAAAATAAAAAAGACAGACACATTGACGAAAAGTCAAAAACTGATGTCATCAACCCTGGACCTCATGTCTGTGGATGATCAGATGGATAGGGATAAGAGGAATCGGAAGTTCTTTTCCCTTTCAGCCCTTCAGACATTCCCCTTTGCTCCCTTTCCCCAAGCTCCCGAGAGAGTGTTTGTAAATTCCAGCAGCTTCCGCAGATAGAGGTGACATTCATGAACGAGTGAGAGCGCGAGAGAGCGGAGGGGAGCACCAAGCCTCCCCCAGACTCCCGTAAGGCAACCAGGCGGCGAGCACTGAGGAACCCGTAGCTCCGTGTCCTTCACACCACTTGAGAGGAGAGGTGGGAGGGAGGCACGGATGGAGGGATGAAACGGAGGAATGTTAAGGATGGATGGTGCACATATCTGTTTGTCCGGCTTTACATGCTGTAAAGGTCCTGTTTGAAGAAGGTCTGCTTTGGGGTCTGTCCCGGTGCTCCGGTCCTCTGTTCTAGCTCAGTTTTCACTGCTGAAAGTATTCTCACCCCTGCAGGCGTGCGTAACAGAGTCTCTTAAGCAAGGCACCTCTGAATCTGCGAAACTGTGAGAGTTTATGTGTGTGTGTGTGTGTGAATGAGGGTGATTGAGAGAGTGTGTGAATGTGTGACTCTCTGTCTCTCTTTTTTGCTCTCCCTCCCGTCTCCGCTCACAGTGAGTTACGGAGCCAACACTGGCAACATGCTTTGCTTTACTCCCTCGTTCTCTCTTTCCATCTCTTTGTAAACCCTCCCCTTACCTTTTTCTGCCCTCCCTCTCTGTCACTCAGAACCCTCCTTCTTTTCCGATCACTCAAAATCCCTCCTTCTCTTCATGCCCTCACACCCACCCCTCTCAGTCCTCTCATTCCTCCCCCTCTCCTGCTCTCTCTCTTTCGCTCTCTCTTTCCCGTCGCTGGCTGCTGTTGTGGTCTGGAGCGTTAAAAAATTAAACCTGCCTCATGCGTCCTTAAAGCGACAGATGAGACAGACAGAGAGAGAGAGAGAGAGAGAGAGAGTCCTTGATTACACTGTTTCCTAAACCCAAATGCCACTTAAAGTAACAGATATCAACACAATGAAACACTAGTTATAGAGTTGTGACCTTACATCAGTGCTACTACAAATCTGAACACAAACACGATCACAGGTCCATTTATGGTATTGAAAACAGAATGAGTATTTTATTATGCCTGCACCAGGGGTTGTGTGCCAGTCAAAACTGAAATGAGAATGCCTTTACAATCCAATTTAATAATTGAATTGTGAAAGCGAACAGTGTGTGCAACAACAGTGGATAGAATAGATAGAGGGCTGTCTCACTCTTTCTCAGGAAATGTACCCAGAACTACTGGAGGAATTAACCGCTTTTTTGGCATGTCGGTTATACAGGAACTGGGAACATTTTTAGATGTACACTTGTTAGGCTGTACAAACTCCTTTTGGAGGAAGTTAATTAGTTACTACTATAGGGAAATGAAAGAACTATTAAATTTTGATATTAACTCAAGAGAAGAACATTTCTATAAAAAATTGCAGTATATATAGCTCATATATTCTGTTTAATTTATTAAAGTCTGTATGAACCGGAAGTGGTAACACTTTAATTTGATGGTCTATTTGAGTATTAGTAGACTGTCTGCTTAATACCTGCTGATACTGCTCCTTCAACAGATATTTTACTGACTATAAGAAACTTAGCAAGTACATGTCAACTTACACTAACCCTAACCCCAAGCCCAACCTTACAGTCTACTTATAATCTAATGAGAATGTAACTTAAATTCAACAAACGGACCATCAAAATAAAGTGCGACCCAGGAAGTTGCAGAGACTTTTATTTAAACTAAAACAGAATGTTGAGTAGAGGACAGGGGTTTTGCTTTGATAAAAATTTCCTCATAGACAATTAACGGTAAGGGAACATGGTTAAAATATTGTGGGTGAAGCTGTCAAACTGACACAGATGTTCAGACTTTGATTGAAGATTACCTAAACAACCATTTGTTTTTGGTGAATTAAGTTCTATAAAGAACATAGATTTTAACCTGCAAGTGATTTCTTCACTGATGCATGTCTAAATAAATTTGTCATGAAACGGGTGCTGAATGACTCTGTATAAATTATAATATTTTAACAAAAAATATAATTGTATAACACATTAATGTACAAATTAATGCAATTTACTGTATGTGTTGGCATATGCATATATGATATATTTACAGTGAGTTGATTATTGTATCTATACTGTTAATGGTTTTTTCAAATTACACAATATTTAACTGTAATATGAACTATATTTTACTGTAAGACAGTTATGCAGTACGTTACTGTATTTTAAAGTTGCCTTTTAAAAAGTACTGTATTTTTACAGTACAGACATACAATACTGTAAATACATATACAACAATATAAATAGTGCTATGTATATGCTGTAACCGTTTACAACTCTCAAATTACACAGTATTTAGCAGGTATATAAACTGTATTTTACTGTAGGACAGTTATGCAGCGTTGCTGTATTTTAAAGTTTCATTGTAAAAAAATAATGTATATTTTACAGTACAATACTATACTGTAAATACATATACAATAATATAAACAGTGACATGTATATGCTGTAACTGTAAACAGTTTTTGTGAATTCCCCAGTATTTAACTGTTATATGAACTGTATTTTACTGTAGGAAAGTTATGCAGTGTTACTGTATTTTAAAGTTGCATTGTAAAAAAAATAATGTATATTTTACAGTACAAACATACTATACTGTAAATACATATACAATAATATAAACAGTGACATGTATATGCTGTAACTGTAAACAGTTTTTGTGAATTCCCTAGTATTTAACTGTTATATGAACTATATTTTACTGTAGGACAGTTATGCAGAATGTTACTGTATTTTAAAGTTGCATTATGAAAATTACTGTATATTTTACGGTACAGACTTACAATACTGTAAATACATATACAATAATATAAATAGTGCTATGTCTATGCTGTAACAAAAGTTTTTGCAAATTACACAGTATTTAACTGTAATATGAACTGTATTTTACTGCAGGACAATTATGCAGCATGTAACTGTATTTTAAAGTTAAATTGTTAAAAAAAATACATTTTACAGTACAGACATACACTACTGTAAATATATATATACACAACAATCTAAATAGTGCTATGTATAAGCTATAATTGATTTAAAGTAATTTACTGTAGATTTACTGTAGAAATAAATAGCAAATTATATTAACAGTTTAGGCTCTGCTATTATTTGCAATGTTTTTACTCACAGCATTAGCTGTGATACCTGTAGATCTATATTATTTCTAGATTAGCTCTAAAACGTTGTAATTATCATTTACTGAAAATCATTTGTTCACTGAAGAGCTGTTTACTAATAGAATAAGATTTTTATGTGTGGTTCTTACCTGCTGTAACAAAACATACTGAATGATTCCAAAATCAAGGCACATTATGTTTGTGTATTACATCCTCATTTAGTATTTTGCTTAATTCAAAAGCAATAAGTATAAATCAAACACAAAAAAAATTAAATGAATTTCACTTGCTACTATTAGTATTAAATAACCCACATTCATCTCTCAAATGTTACCTGTAATAAAAAACTAATTTCCACACTTTATTTTTTCTTCCCCTCCCCTTTATACACCCGATTGATCACATTTCCTCTCATATTCATGTCTGAGCTGATAAAAACATAATTCATTCAACTCAGACAGAAAACCAGGAAAGTGACTTGCGTCAGCAGCTTTTTAACGCTTTTAAAAGGACAGAAATGCTCTAAAAACCTTCTTTAAAACACATGCTGTGAATACTGATGTTTTTTTCCCTGCTTTTCTACTTCCGCTTCTCGGTTCAGTGGGGAAACATTGAGCAGCAGAAGTGTGCATACAGGTTGAATGGGGCTCTGATCCCTTCACTAGCAGACTAATTCAAATCAACGTTATAATAAGGTTTTATAACCCACAGCAAGTTTGAATTAGTCATGGCCTGTGACGCCTCTATTTGCGTGTTGCTCCAGCGCCAGCACACTTATTGATGCGGTGGAGGATTTTCTTTCTAGGCACAGAGTCAAAGCCATTTTAATCAGCAGAGTTATGACTGTGACATCCAGTGGCGATGCTGGACAGAGACGAGTCAGCGAAGACATGCAAAACATCTGGGAAAGGACAGGGATAAAGGAATGACTTTGACGTGGATGGTTACATGGAAAGATTCCCATGTTGTCAAAACCATGATGT